GGGTGTTGTTTGGTTCTGGCTGTGTGCTCCACTTCTTTCTGCTGCAGGCATTAGAGTTGAACCCTTTGTGTCTCTCTGGGAAGATGTTCTGCTCCTGAATCAGCTGGGTGGGTCTTGCCTCTAGCCTCTTTGCAGGGCGTTCTGCTGAAGGGTTCCCTGCTGCACCTGCAGCCTAGGTTGAATGAGGATCCGCTGGCCTAGGTCATCTCACTTACTCTCTGGGCCTGCGTTCTGGGTCTGTTCAGGATCCCAAGGGCCCCGGTCTTCTCACTCACTCGCCGGGCCTGCGCTCTGGGTCTGTTCAGGATCCCGCGGCCTGGGTGGTCTCACTCACTCGCCAGGCCTGCGCTCTGAGTCAATTCAGGATCCCGTGGCCCTGGGTCGTCTCACTCACTCGCAGGGCCTGCGCTCTCAAAGTTATTCTTATAATTTGGGGAACATAAGGATTTTGTTGTTGTTATTTGTTTGTTTGTCTTGTAAATTTTAAGGAAGGGTCTACAGGGTGTTCAGGGACTCACTACTAGATGGGACTTGTAGTGATCCTCCTGTTTATAGCCTCCCAAGAGCAGGGATTACAGGGGCGGGCGTACCACCATGCCCAGTCTCAATTGCTGCCTCAGCAAGCCCCGTGGGCGGGGCGGCACACAGGCCTGGGAATTGAACCCTGCGGCCCCTGAGCCTGCTTGCAGGGAATGTAAGTATTGTTGAACTACTCCAAAAACATTCTTTCATCCTTCCAATTGCTGTAGCTTTCAGTTCCCAGCATGAGACAGATTTAATCTCAAGAATCCCTATGAATTCTAATCCATCTCTAAGCACTCAGGCAGTGGGGGGACCCACCCTTCTGAAAACTATTTTTCTGTTAACAGAAAGTACTCTGGAGAGCATGATTTTTCTCCAAAATCTAGATGCAAAGAAGTAGATGACGACTGTTTTAGAGAATGATTGCTAATTAGGATGGTGTAAGAAGAAAGTAGCCTCAGGAGATTAGGAACAACTATAAATGGGCTTCCTGCTTGCCTATCCTTAGCAAAGTTAGTAAGGTCTCCTCACCCTATAGCTGGTCTCCAGGATTCTGGCTATCTCTGCATTCAAATGCTCTGGCCCCAAAACTCATACGTCCTCTGCCCTGCAGGACCGCACTGACTTTTCAAAAACCAGCACAGGCATAGCTCAGAGATATGTTGCATTTCAGATCGCTGCAATAAAGCAACTATTACAATGAAACAGATTACATGAACAGTTTTGATTTCCCCAGAAATAAATTCTGTTTTCACTGCACTCTAGTCTATTAATTGTGCAATTGTATTGTAGGCAACTGAGTTAGATAGAAGTATTATAGGCAGTCGGATAGAGCTAGGCCTTTGGACTAGGACTAGGACTAGGACTGTGCAAGACAAAATACCTTGAACTGTGGGAGAGACAGGCACTTCAGCTGTGGGCCAGACCGCTACACAAAAAAATTAAACAAAAGCAGCCACATACCTCCCTAAGAGTGGAATCAGGGATCCATATTCTAAATAGGTATCAATCACCTTGAAAAAGCCAAGGAGAGTTCTTAGCACAGCCCCCTACAGGAAAAGCCCCTGTTCTGGATTCATGTCCACTTACAACTTGAGGTGCTTCCCTATTTGATCCTGATTTAATCAATGTTACCTGAGCAATTATACTTGTAATATAATTGTAATACTTGTAATATAATTGTAATATACTTGTAATACTGGTTGACCATAGTTTTGTTTTTCTTTTCTTTTCTTTTTTCTTTTTTCTTTTCTTTTTTTTTTTTTTTTTTTTGCAGTACCAGGCCTTATGTGTGCTGGGCTAGTGCGCTGCCACTGAGTTACTGTCCCGACCCACGGGTTAGTCAATGAGGACCCTAGAGGGGGAGTCGGGATGAGAAGGGACAGGAAACACAAAGAATGTGCACAAGACAGGATTCTGATCAAGTCCCGTTTATTCAGGGGAGGTTCTGGGTGTATATAGGGAGTGTAGGAATGAGGAAGTCTCGGCTCTAGGGGTCAGCAGGTATCTAGACAATGGGGAAGGTGCAACCCCTGGGGTGATACACTTGATTCACAGGGAATGGGCAAGGTGGGAAGGACCAGAAACTTAACTCAGCAGGGGAATAGAAACTTAAGAAAATGCCTGACACTATTGTAAAATGGATACCAGTTAATGGCTTCCCACAAGTTACCCTCCTAGCCCCTTGACATCTGGCAGTTAATTGATATAATATGGCATGCACATTTTTACAACCTGACCTTTTTGGAGAGAATGTTTCAAAAGTCACCAT